CCCCCCCCCCCCCCCCCCCTCCCACTTTGGGGCCTAGCGTCCTCGATGACACTCTTTCCTTGCTCCAATCGATGTGGGACCTTGTCAATTCCACCCCTAGCACACCGTCTCGTGTCAACCCCCTTTGGGGAACAGCCTCCTCGTTGGCACATAGTCTGGCTCTAATACCATTTGTAACGGCCCAGATCCACTCCCTTTGGGGCCACCATCCTTACTGGCACACTATCTCGTGTCTACCCCATTTGGAGAACAACCTCCTTACGGGCACATAGTCCAGTATCTGGCTCTTATACCATTTGTAACAGCCCAGATCCACCGCCAACAGCAGATAGTGTCCTCTTTGGGCTTTCCCTTTCGGGCTTCCTAGATTCTGTAACGCTATATAATAGCCCAATGTGAGATTTCTCTCTTTCCCATTTTCTCTCTTCCCTCTCCAAGTTAAAACAGTCTTCTACGTGTGTCATAATAAAAGAGAGTTCATTTGTGGGGATACAAGATCTCACACATAAAACTTGCATCACTAGAAATTTCAAATATGTGGATTCGGGGTCGAGATCAAGCTCAATAAATTCAACGTAAACAACCCAATTTGTCATGATTTCGACTCATCGAACTGCTCAAGAGAAGCCAAGACATGGGCATTTTACTTCAGTACTGATAAAGAAGACTCAAACCCTGAGACAAACAAACCACAGGAAGTTCATCCACAAGCTCTGTGCTGTAAAGAAACACATCTGAAAGCATGAAGAACAAGATTATTGATTGATTGAAGAGCCAAAGAGGCCATCAAAATTTGGGGAGAAATAGCAAAGCGTTTGATTACAAGAATTTAAACTCCCAAAGCCCAAAGAGAAAGCAGTTCATGATGAATTGTTGTTTTTACCAAAGATGAACAAAAAAAGCCGACATAATCTGCAGATCCTTTTATACAACAATGCAGAAACATAAAATAAAATTTTAAAAAGAAAAAAAGTAAAACTCAGAGGAATTAATCTCTGCTGCCATCTGAAACATGCGTTTTCAGACATAAAAAAACAGGATCAACTTTACATGAACCCTCCCTCCTGTACATCTTTTTTCCTTCCTGCAAGGCAAGGCATAATGAATTTACAAATACCTCTTCTTCTTCTTCTTCTTTTTATCTTCCAAAAGATTGTAAAAGGAGTAAAATGGCGGTGTTCAGCCTTCTGTGTCGATATTTTCGTCGTCAGATGGCATCTCTCGCGTCTCCGAGATCGATAGTCGTCTCGGTTTTGCAGATCCTGCTTCAACTAGCCCTTCAGATGACAAGTTCAGTGCAGTTGATCCTGAAGACGTCCCAAACAAATGCTGAACTGGGGCGTTGGCTGATGATGCTGCTGCTGCTGCTGCTGCTGCTGAGAGATTGTATGTGAAGATTCCCATAGGGTGATCGAACTTGCAGCTTGGACCGAACTTACAGATCCCGTAACGAGAATAAAAGATGCACAAAGGTTCTCCCTGTTCGTGTTAATATTAGTTAAACATACTTGAATCAAACCAGGAAAAGGGTCTCTAATCTAAAGATCCACGTATTGCCATTTCATCACGACTAACTCACCGGACGTAACGGCAGGCCTATAGGACTCAAGACACAATCTGGGGCAGGAAGTACTCTTTCTCTGGGATGATGAAATCGACAAACGGCACCGAACTTGCAATCTCCAGTCTTCATGTAAAACTGACATTCAGGCTGGCCAGGCCTCTCAGGGAATACATTCTCCCTCTGCAATGTCAAAAAACCCAAATAGGACAGTTAGAACGTATCAGAGAAAAGACTGCTACAGATCCTGCATTAACTCAGTCACTCGTCCTACCGTTTGTTGTGGACTTTCTGAAGATGAAACCGATCCGAGCTGATCCTGTAAAAATCACCATCTTATGTTACTTAAGGGTAAAACGAAGCGAAGAGGGTGTAGCATCCACCATTGAACCTTCTTTTAAACATAATTGGCAGAAGACGAAAGGAAAAGACCTCCCGAAAGCTGCTGAACGTCAATACACACACACATAACGTATATATTTTTGAGTTCAACAATTGCGAGGAGGAGATCGAACCATCGACTTTCAAGTAAACAAACAAAACAATATATACACCAGACTTATGCCAAACATGGGTAAGGAATAAGACTTACATTGAATGCATTCCAACCTGGAACAGAAAGAACTCCCTGAGGCAATATTAAAGATGCATAACTGGAAGGGCCTTCCCATCGTGGACTGGGAATGAACGACGCCCTCGACCAATTTGTACTTCCTCCTGGATATGATTGCTGACCAGGAGTTGGCGATTGTACGGTTGGATAAATAGGAGAACCGCGCAGTGAGACCATCATATTAGTCGGTTGAGGATGGTGGAATTTACATGTATTTCCGAACTTACATTGTCCAGTTCTTATATAATAAGCACATTCAGGTTCACTCTGCACAATTGGAAGTGAGGAGGAGAGGATGAACAATGAATATTTTCAGCATAAAAGCATAGGTAGCTCGACAATCGAAGATCTTTAAAAGGGAGAAGTTATATCCTAACCGGGCGAAGTGGATAGCCAATAATATTTAAGGCAACTCTTCCAGCAATCCCAGCCTTGTCTCTAGGATGATGAAACTTGCACGTAGCCCCAAACTTGCAAGTTCCTGTCTTCAGGTAGTACTGGATTACGTGCAAATGAAAACGTCATTTTCATAGTAATAAACAAAGGAAACGTTCTATACTTCGACTCGTTTAGAGCCCATTTAAGTTCTTATAAAACTAAGCATCCACAAAAGTCATGAGCCAATCAAGACCCAACGAAACAATATAATATCCGAAACCTTGTTATTCTAAACCAAACCGAACCATGAAAAAATAATATTCCTGATATACATATGAGATAAATAAGTACATCCCATTAGCTAAAGAACTGATTATATTCTTCGACCAAGTAATTATCGAATGGAACTACTCTCAGCTGTCTCTCGGAGGAAGTTCTAAGGTGCTTTAACCGGTATTTAGCTTGCTATGTTATGTGAACGATCACGTCATTCTCGTCATTGATCTCCTTAACTTTATACACCATAAAATTACAAGAAACCATCTAGAGGAAAACAAGATCACCTAAATTCTCTTTTCTTCGTCCCGTCGAAGTATGTAATCATCATATTAACTTGAACACGTTATAGTTTACTCATGGACGTAGCTAGGAGCCTAATGATGACGTGCAGGTTTTCCTTTCCGTGTTTTCTTTTAAAAAGACATTTCATATATACAGTACAAAGGTTGCAAAAGAAGTCCCCAAAACTTGAAAAAAAACAACAGAAACCTATCATATTACGAACTCACACAAACGACCTGAATCCAAACCGAAACCTCTAAAACCAAATGTTGATATGCAGATTATAATGAATAAAATGTCACATGATGTAATACGTTAATTAAAAAAGTACGTGCCTGGCATTCTGGTTGTCCAATTCTTTCCGGGAACTCCCCCTTCATTCTTGCAGTGGCAATAGCCTGAACGTAAAGTGTAGTAAATCACGGAAACTCCGTCACAAGATGAATTGTAAAATTTTCAAGAACGACTCGTAAATACTGTAGATGAATAATCTGTTATTTTTAGTTCAGAACATAATCGAGTTAAAAAAAAAAGGTCGGTGTGTGCAAGGACAAACCTGTTGTGCGAATAAAATGATTTCAAATCTTTAGCTAACAGGCTTATACAGTGTGAGGTGAATGAATGAACGGAGAGACGAGCAGGTTCATCGAGTTAAGGTTACAAACACATTTTACCACTTTTAATTTCCTTCTCATAGATCTATCCACTAAGTATAAACAACTTTAGGGAGGCTCCAAAGCGGTTCAGTTCGTTCAGTTAGCATGTTTAGAACATAAAATGACGATAAATTAAGAAACTAAAAGATTCACATTTCGGCTTATTACCAGCTCCCTATTAGGTGGATGATTAAATCTACATGTAGCTCCAAATCTACATAGGCCAGTTCTGATGTAATAAGAACAGTCTGGCTCTCCGGGTCGCACGGGATAAGATCCAGATCCCATTATTTCACCTGATCCTAAGTTCATTTGCCACAGTGCATCTGGTATGACATTAGATAAGTAAATCTCCCATTATAAAGAAGAAAAATATACTATTCTAAATATATGAAGCTCACATACGAACAAAAACTAAAATATAGTTAGATATGCTCGAATATATGGTTCGGGGAAGCAACGGAGAAAATTCACAATTCAAAGTGGAATTGAAAATGATGAATAGATAGAAGTTCGCGGTGCCTGAACGGAAAAAATGCATAGAACACCCAAGAATAGATAGTAATATGAGTACCATTGCATCCTTGAGGCAATGGTACAAAATAAAACAAAGTATACAAAATCGTTTTTATAAAGCCTAAAAAGACTTCCCGCCTTCCCCTAGCTAATACGCTTCCTTGGTCAGAACACAGTCCATTTTGATCATGATCGGACAGAAGAACACACAAAAGAATGTTAAAAAAAGTTTCGACATAGCTGATAGGAAACACACAACACTAAACGAGCCTTTTTTTTTTGTTCTTCGAAGTAAAGAACTTTGATAAGTCACGTTATGATCCTCCGAAATCCATTTCTCATGGTTCTTATCACTTAGAATCAGGTTGAGAAGGTGATTAACTAGTTCTTTGCATAAGGTCTAGTTCCTTGGGCAAGGGATGGGCGACAACATGAGTTGTTTGGATCAAGAGAAGGTGCGTGCAACCCGTGATGGACTGGGAGACATCACGCTAGGTGCAGGAACTACAATTCTTCCTCGGATTAGTATATATTAAACTATAGGAAGTTCATTGAGGGCTTCTCACGTGATCAATCGAAAGGGCTTAAGCTTTCTATTATATCAATAAAGGGAGAATGAGAGGTGTGTGCAAAGTTTTCTTTCTTTCTCCCGCTCAATCGCTTCAATGCCTATAATTTGAGAGATAACCGGAAAGCTTTCTCTTGAGATGTGACACAAATAATGACTCTCTTTTGGATTACCTTGTGAAAGGGATCCACACATTTTCTTTTTAACAAGTACAAACTAATCAGTGATGGACGAAAAGGAAGAACAGTATTCAAGGATACAACCACCCGAAGGGGAATAGATTAAAACGTCCAACAACAAAGACGAAAAATACAAGAGTCTGAACGAAAAACTAAAATGACGACCCATTAAGACCAAACCAAACAGCAAAAAGCTAAACCAAAATAGATAAAACCTCTTCAAATGCTTTATCATTTAGAACATCTTAAGCTGTCTCATAATGCAACCGAATTGGGACCTTTGTCGACGAACCCATTAAACGAACACAACTTTCTTCAATCAAGGACTTTTACTTGCACTTTTTTAAAACGAAACTTAAGAGATGCATTACACGAAAGACAACTTAGAGGCCGGAGAAGAGGGCTCTCCCTCCCAACAAGAACTACTTACAAAAACACCTTCCAATCTAGAGGATCCTTGTTTTTTTGTGATTCTCGATTACGTTCATTATAAAATGAACCTCATAACTTCAAGGGAGCATCTCAACTTTCCAAGTCAAGAATCCAAAAGTTTTGAAGAGGCTGGAAGCAGCTGAGTATATATAAGATGGATCAACCACTTTCTATTCCACATAAATTTTGTAAACATTACAAACGTATAATGGGTAAAAATTTACGAAATAACATTTTATATGGACCATACCATCATCAGAGCAACCATCGTGCCTCCAATGGAGATTGAGACAAAGATATGAACCGGAAATGTATCAGGAATTTAATTCAATCTCTTCCTCGGGATCGTTCGAGACCAAAAAAACAACAACCACGAACAAAAATACAGCAAAACAGAGCCATACACCACAGATCGAAACGAAAACTAGATGCAAAACATGGGCAAAGCAGAGGATTTACGTACAAAACAATCAGATAAGAGTATGTGCACATCGAAATGGATGACTCAAACACATCACAAAAACCCAGATAAGCAAACAACAAAAAGACAGAGTAAGAAGAAATTGCAATCTGCAAAAGGGAAAAGGGGGAAAAAGAAACGAATAAACGATACCGAAATTAGCAAGAGAACCTTCGCGCAAAGATGGTGTGAGAGCAGAGGAGTGTCCCTCCGTCACAGACATCGGAATTCCAGAATCGTACTCCATCGCAGAGGAACATGGTCCTGAAATCACCGCCTCATCGCCGGCGAAGAACTCATCCCATCAAAACCCACCACCCAAATCCCCATTTCCACCACAACCCACCACCACCAGAGCACCAATTTCGACAAAAATCAAAAACCCACCATCCAATTTCCTTCCCAAAACCAAAAAAAGGGGGGGAAACAGAGAATCGAAACGAAAAGTTATGTATATGGGGATTGATTGACGATTTCAGTAAGTGGGTTTTTTAGAGAGAGAGAGGGAGAGAGAAAGAAAGGAAAGGGCGTTGTCTTCTCCTCTCCACACAAAAAAACTAAAAAGAGAGAGAATAGAGTAACGAAACCAACCAAAACATCCGTCCCTCCATTGTTGCTGACGATCTTTAGAGACGAAAAACGGACGACGAAGATTTGAAGACTCTCGCGATTAGGAGATTTACAATTAACTCTCGCTTTGGTTACGCCACGTTCATCAGATTCCTGCTAACATTTTAGCCTTTTTCTTTTTCAGTGGTGGTAGTGCAATGAGAAGTGCATCAGTAACAACAAAGTGGGTGGATCACCCAAGCGTCTGCCTCCCACGCGACTCCTTGCGCGTGGTCTAAACCCTTCACCCTCACCTTCGGACCGCTTCTTCCAACAGTTGCACCATTTTTCAGCTTCCTTCTTTATTATATTAATTCTCCAATTATTATTTTTTACTTTATTTATTTATTTATATAAATAACTCACTCGACTCAAATCAAATATTCAAATATTCGTATCCCATTTATCATAAACATGTCCGGTTTTTTAATATTATTTAAATATTAACACCTCATATTGATTAGATTAATGAATTAATATGA